CAGTGGTTCTTATCCCTTATGGCAGGGGAAAGCTTTCAGAATCTTTAAAAGTAAGTTTTGAATTCTTAAACAGCTGCTTAAAACCTCAATAGTCGGGTTTAGCATCGAAGCTTTTTGATGCTACTAAAAGCAGCTGCACTCTGATATATTTATAACTCTGGATATCTCTAAAGGAGTTATTTGTTGGAGGGTCCTGCAATGCCACAAAGTAATTTAACTTTATCAACTCCTATTACATGTGAGTTATGTCTGGCTTGAAGGGAACTGCAGCACAAGAGCAGAACTGATACGGAGACCAAAAATTTCAGTCTACCCCTACCCCAAAATAAAAAAAAAAAAAGCAAGATCTCAGCCCAGGCTGGAGGAGGTTTTTTGTTTTGTCTTCCCTTCCCAGCCCTCAGTTTCCCTGAAGCCCCTCTCAGGCACCTTGAACAGGTGCCAGCAAGGCTGTTTTCTGTCACCTTTGCATCTTTCCCTGCTGACAAAGCAGCTGCACGTGAAGGTCATTCAGCTGCAGCAACCCAGAGTATCAATTTATACCAACTGCTCCCTCCCCCATAAGCCATCGACTGCCAGGTGTCAGGGGGGGGCCACAGGCCAGGACACTTCCCCTGCTCTCTTCTCCACTCTGGTTGCCAGAAGGATGTGACCCTGCAACCACCCCTGCAAGTGGGACGTGTCCACAGGAGCTTTTATTAGCCTGGAGAGTCCCTCTTGGGATTTGCTGCACTGAGACTTCCTACAGAGAACAGCATTGACAGATTTCTGCCTCTGGATTTGCACTGGTAACAGCCAGCACTGGCTTGGGCAGGGCTGTGCACAGAGGTCACACCATCACCATCATCATCATCATCACTAAATGCCCACAGCCACAAACTCCCATGGTCAACCTCTAAAACAAAAACCTCCGAGCTCCGAACATAAATCCAAATGCAAAATAATTGTAAGGGCTGAATGTTGCAAAATAAAAGGAAGTCCCAATATTAAAGTCAGGAGTAAAACCCTGTATTTGTCCAAAGCCACCTGATCATCAGCAAAAGACAAACTTCATCCCTGGAGGTGTCCAAGGCCAGGTTGGACAGGGGTTGGAGCGACCTGGGCTAGTGGAAGTTGTCCCTGCCCATGGCAGGGGGTGGAATGGGATAAGCTTTAAGGTCCCTTCCAACCCATCCCAAGTCTGGGATCTCTGATTATCCTATGAATCAATCTCTTTGATCACTTGGAGAGAGAACACCTCTCCTGTACCATCACCTGAGTGTATCAAACCCAGCCTGGAGACAGGACACGCTCGTCCTTGTTGGTCCGCAATCTTCCCTGGGATAAACATGGTTTTTCCTTGCAGAATAGTGGTTTATTCCATTTCCACGTGGGATCTGGGCCAGAAACAACACGGTGGAAGGTGGGTTTGGGCAGCAGCTGCTCCCCAACATGCTCCAACACTCAATGGTGGGACACAGAACGGCGATAAAGCCGTCGGGGTGGAGAAGAGGAACAGCTGCACAGGAGCCAGAGTCTGGGACACACCTCAGCAAGTTACACGATGTATGAGTGGGGGGGGGAGAGAAAGCCCACAGCAAATTAACTTCCTGAACGAATTTAGGAGGGTGGGAGAGGTAAAAATAAACCGGATGATTCAGCAGATATTAAATCTTCAGTCGACACGCGGGCGCTGCTGCTGCCTCTGGCGTGGCTGCAGCGAAGGTGGAGCTTGGGGGAAACCCAGGGCTCAACCTGGTGGGCTCATCCTCATCCTGGGGCTTTTTAGGAATAGTTTAAGAACTCCCCCAGCCAGTGGGTAAGCTCTCCCTGTGACAGAGGTCCAGCAGGGCAGGCTGGGCACAACTCAAAGGTTCACTGTACCAAGGTAAGGCTGCCCCGCAGGCTCAGGGCTGTTTTGGGAAGCCCTTTACCCTCTGCCCACGGACCACCAACCCTCCCACCTGCCCTGCCCTGCACATTCAAGTAAAAACAGTGGAAAACATGCAGCATCCTGCAGCAGATCCAGGCAGGAGGGATATTCCAGGGCAGGAAAGAAGAAGTGAAAAATACTTGGGATAAAATACACAAAAATAACCAACAAATCAATGCCAGGGAGTGGAGCAGGCTGGCACCTGCAGAATGAACAAGTGTGGGGAAAGGAACAGCCACAGTTAAGAGCTGAACTGCTGAACTATTTAATTTTTTTTCCTCTCTTTGCTACAAATCAGAACGTTGAGCACACACTGCTCCTGGCCGTGGAGGATCAAGGTTACCAGGGAACAACAGCACACATAATCGAAGAGTTATCTTCACGTAGATGCAAAAAAAAAAAAAAAAGGGGGGGGGAAATTACTGTTGCTAAGGGAATATTAATTCTCACGTTTTCCAAACTTTCAAGTGCTCGAATTTACAGCCTTGGTAAAGTCTGTCTCTGTGTGCACATCAGGGCTCTGTCACTCCAACAACACCCCCAGTTATTTTATTA